TCTTGTGTGCTCATCATTCCGAAGATCCTTCTTGTTTCCAACCAGGATAATGGGTACATTGGGACAGAAATGCTTTACTTCTGGAGTCCATTTTTCTGGGATGTTTTCTAAACTATCAGGGCTGTCAATAGAGAAACACATCAGTATAACATCGGTATCTGGATAGGAGAGAGGCCTCAGGCGATCATAATCTTCCTGTCCAGCCGTGTCCCACAAAGCCAACTCTACCTGCTTTCCATCCACTTCAGTATCTGCCACATAGTTCTCAAACACTGTGGGAACATATACTTCTGGGAACTGGTCCTTGCTGAAGACTATGAGTAAGCATGTCTTTCCACAAGCTCCATCACCAACAGTCACCAGTTTCTTTCGGATGGCAGCCATTGCTTACAAATACACTGCAAATGCACAGCCTGTGTAGCAAACTTGTAAAAGTACCTCAGACTTCGCAGATGATAGCTCGGCAACGACCCCCGAGTCCGGCCTCTTCACGCCAATGACGCCTGTCCGCGAGTCGCAAGCTCAGAGACTAGGGCGGATAGCTTCAGAGGCGAAGGTGGACTACCAAGAGAACCGATGGAGGGCGGCGGACTTGGGAGTGCGAGCGAGGGCGGGCGGTGGCGGGAGCAGCCCTGTTTTCTTTAATCTTCACACAAAACCAGAGGAACTTTGAAGTAGGCATTGGTTCACTCCTGAACTCACCAGCTGACGTTCCTGCGTCTGGCATGTGGATGAGCTGGTCCCTTGCACCTGAGCTGGTGTGTCCAGCCCTGTGCAGACAGCATCCTTCATGCTTTTGGTCTTCCTCTTTTGTCCAAGAGTCTATATTATCTTATGAATATTTCCAGTTACCCTTTATGGTAGAATTCTTTGAAATCTGCATCTAGCCTACCTTGTTCCTTATTACTCTGAGGCTCATCTGCTTCTTCTGTGTACCACTATGTGAGCAATATCTATTTTCTCTCTTCTGTTCTCTAATTTCTTAGTTGTTTCAATTTAAAAACCATACAGTTTTAAGCCTGAAAGGAACTGTAGAAATGATCTAGTTAGTGTGAGGTGGTGGAGGCTCAGTGCCAGGAGGGACATGCACACATTGCGCCACCTTGTGCTTCGGTGGTGTCCCTATGAGGCTCCCTTGTTCTGTCCTGAAGCCTTGCCTGTACATTGTCATTCTGGTTCTTCTCTTGTGACATGCATTTTTTTAGAAAGAGAAGTAGCAGTAAAACAGTGTATTTTTTTTGCAAAAAGTTAGAACATGGAGAAGAAAAATCATCTAAATCCCACCTTATAATATAGTTTATCCTATTACTGTTTTGGGTATGTCTATGATTTGATTTTCAGGTTTTTTTATCCAGATCTTTTAGTAATAATATTTAATAATATAGTAACATTTTTGTCGTTTTTATCCTCACTAAACTCAAGATTTTTAAAAATTTTATGTTACTTTTCATTACTTTGATTGGTTGAAAAATTCCCTGAATAAACTATATGCAGATTTTTGTCACTTGTTTCTCTACTAGATGTTCAAATAATTTCCTGTTCTATTATACAGTTACATATCAGTTAGCAGTGGGGACATGTCCTGAGAAAGGCGTCAGTGCTCAACATCATAGAATAAATGTCCACAAAATAGGACAGCTATGGCACTGCTGGCCGCATAACTAACAGGACTGCCATCACTTGGCGTGGTCTGTTGCTGCCTAGAATGCTGCTGTGTGGCACATGCCTGTGTAATGTTATGACTGCTATATAGAAGTTTGGGGAGTTTTATTTTTATTTTATTTTATTTTTTTTATATTTATTTATTTTTATTTATTACATTTATTTATTGTGTGTGTGTGTGGCCAGCTCAGCCCACCAGGGGGCGGGTCTGGCTGGCATGTGGTGCTGGGGATCGAACCGCGGTCCCTGTGCTTTGCCAAGCTTGTTTCAAGTAGGTGCTTTAGACCACTGAGCCATCTCTCCAGCCCCGAGTTTTATTTTTAGTACTACAAATATTTTTGTTTAAAAATTAAAATACATGCTATTATAGAAATGTTGAATTTCATGTGTGTATGTAGGATTAGACAGTTAGTTTTTCTGTTGTCCTTGTACTTCTGATTATTTTCCTGGGCTAGAGTCCAATAAGTAGCATTATTGGATGTAGAGGAATGAATTTCTATAATTTTTCACATTAAGAAATTACTTTAAAATGCTTTGTTAGTTTTTTAACTTCTTTCCAATTTGACTTTTTGATTTGAAGTCCGCAGGCCTGCTCTCAAGCCTGCTTCTGAATATTCCTCCTTCTTCCCTGTTACTGCCAGAAGTAACATGGTACTATGAGTGCTTACGGTGAGCGTCTGGTCCGTGAACCAGTGACTCTTAGTCCTTGAGTCTCTTCACCCTGTTTGATGCTGACTGCATCCTTCCAGATGTGGCAGGGATCATGTGTTAAGCATCTTTGTGCCCTGACAGCCTGACCTCAGTCCCAGCACCCAGGAACCATGGAGAAAGTGCAGTGGGATGAAGACCTAAAGCGCTTCCGGCCTCACTTGGAGCTGATTCTGCCCCACCCAGGCTGCCTCTCTGGCCTTTCTTTCTTTCCTGTGATCTCCCATGGGGGCTTAGGAGCAACATGCAGCATCCGAGAGAAATGCCTAAACCAGGAGAAGTTCCTTCTAAGTGTGAGTAGTTCACACATAACCCTGAATTTGCTTTTCCATCTTAAATTTCTTCTTGCTTTATCTTGGGAAAAATTTGTGTTTAGGGGCCCACCAATCTCCAAAGAATAAGCTACCTGACTTTCTTTGAAGCCTGTGTCTGTCTGCATTTTCTGTGTGAGCTGGTGGCACTTCTGAAAAGCTTGTGAGATTCTGTGTGGTTTTCCTTGTTTTTGAAGAGATGTTATCCTGAAAGTTGGTTGAAAAATAAGAGATCATGAAATGTGTCTTTTGTTTGCTCCTCCTCCCCTTTTTCTTTTGTTAGTGGTGGTAACGACTCTTAGAATTTCAGAATGTTTTTAAATTAGAGATTGTGTGCGTACAGATGTAGCCCCATGCACTACATGAGGCCCTGAGTTCAATCTCTAGCACCACAAAAATAAATAAAATTATTTGTGTATGAGGAATCATAATTGAAGAAAAGGAGATCTGTCACCATTTCTGCTATTTTGTGACACTTGGGCTGTTCTCCTGAGTTACACTGTGAGAGTTAAGAGTTGTGAATAGATGACATCCTGAGTTCAGAAAGGTCCAGAGTGCAATACCAGGCCTGAGCATGGGGCCAGGAGGAGTTTGCTGTAAGCAGTGAAGGAGAGCCACCACCTAGTGAGGAAGACTTTCCCAGGTGAGACCTGCGGGGAGCATGTCAGGCCTGGGGCTTCTTGGAGGCCGGTGCCAGCTCTGCTGCCATTAAGCTATTAGCTCACCAGAAGCTTTTACAGGATGCCCAGGAGTATGGTAGTGATTTGCAGTAAACCCCTTCCATGGTTACTTAGTCTTTTAGTTTGCATAGAGGGACATGCTTTTCTATCCACATTAGAGGGTTGCTTTTCCCTCTTTTGACTGAAAAACAAATATTAAGTACCCTCTATGTAGTGAGGTTTTTTCTATACTTCTAGATGCTTTTTTTCTGGTTTCCCACTGCTACGATCTGCCTTTTCAGCATACGGTTCCTGCCTTTTCTGGAAGAAATTACGGCTGTGTATCCAGGTTTCTCCTCTGCCAAATGGGGTTGGAGGGAAAACTATCATTTAATGTTGCAAAATATTAACTCTCTTCGCTCCCTAAAAACGTTCAGCTGTCCCATTCTGTCTCAGTCGCTTTGAGGGAAGTGCACAGAGTAGATGCATAGCAAAAAGCCCACCCGCTCTTTGGCAGCCAGGTGAACTCTTTCTGGCTGCTGCTGTAGCTGCCGGGTGTGACCTGACTTGCATTTGTTTTTCTCATTACCTCTGTCTACCCACATGACCTGTACTTCAGAGTTGAGAGCATTTCCAGGCTCCTGTAGGCATGAAGCAAAATTTGGAGTGCCTGGTTTACTAGCATAAACTTTGGTGTCTGCGTCTCTGATTGCTTCAGTGTGCTTCATGGCACTTTGATCATTTATAATTTTATCATTGTTTTGCAATTAAGAACAGCTATTCAAAAATACCAGTATTAAAATCTAACTGTCTAAGGTAGCTTGAAATACCTTGGTTTTTTGTTCATTTTTCCCAATAATTAAAAATGTACTTCTGTATTGACCATGTACCTCACCGAAACATTAATAGATGCTTTGATCTATAATAGTAATGGATTTATTTGCTCTGAGTTTAAAATACTTTTGTTTGGAACTGAATTTCCCAATGACAGTTTTCCTAATACTCATGTGAATGTATAAAAAGTAGGTTCTGGCTGTGGATTGCTCTGAGCCTCTTGAGATGACAGGTGTTTTATAAATACAGATTAGAAAAGTCATGTTAGATAAAAGTCACTTGTATTTATCCTTACCTCAGGACATGCTTTATGTTTTTCCATAAACTTCTTTTCTTGGCAGTTTTCCTTCCTACCTAGTTTTGTATAGATTTTATGCTACTGTGCACCATGACACTGGGCTGTTTCCCATAAGGAATTCTGTTATTACTCGTTAGGGACATGTTTTTAAAGATACTTTTAAATTTATTTATATATTTTCTGCTGTGACGTATACACACTCTTCTAGTAAATAAGTCTGAGGTAAGATATTGATAAGTGACTTGAGGAGGGCATTACATTTATTATATTTTTAATGAAGGAGCTCCAGAAAATCCTTAATAAATACTGGTGAACTCGTGACTGCATTTATCCATCTCTGCTTCTCCAAGGAATAATGGGAAGGGCCACAGTACAATAACTCTGCATAATCATCATCGACTCTGACACTATTGATTGTGATTAACCAAGATGTATGGAAAGCAGTTTTAAGTGTGTGGTGCTTGTATTTCGTAAGGTCCATTAAGATGTTCATTATTTTTCAATTGATGCATCTTAAGCTCCACTTGATGTTTGCTGTAGTGCATTTCCACAGAACAGCTCTGCACTGTGGGATGGAGTTCATTTTGTTAATTGCATAATACAACACAGTCATGTTTCATAGAAAATAGTAAATACTCTTGCTTTTATTGATTTGTAATCCCTGGTATATAACTGAAGACAGTATGGAACAAGTGATTAGTTTTTAAAACCTGTACATGTTAAAGACATTAACGTTTCTTGGAATATAGCCTCTGCATGGTTAAGGGCCTCTGCCTAGTTGCTTAGCAGTTGTAGACCACTTCAGCCTCTGGGTTACTCAGTAGAGCCTTCCTTTAGGTAGTGCTCGCCGTGGATAGGTGCCGTGCCCACATGCCTTGCTCAGGAGTGTATAGGCCAACGGGATACAGCTAGTAGTGGTTATGGAAC